TTGACTTTAGTTATTGACGTAACTAAAGTATCGATTAAAGGTAGTTCCTCTCTCAACAGGGCTATTTTGACGATTTGACTAAAGTAAAAGCCCTTGACGTAAGTAAAATCACTTGATGTAATTTAAACATTTGTCGTAAGTGAAAACACCAGCAATAATGATGATGATAAAATAGGATTATCAAAAGTTCCAAATTATGTAAAAATGTGTATTCCAGGCCTTAATCCCATTAAACATCTGTGGGATAATCTTCTTGGCAGAAGATTTAAAAAAATGCCCTGATCACTCAAAAAACTCCCTCAAAACAAGAATAGCAATTTGAATTTAATTGATAATATGCCAAAGAATGCGTGGCAAACGAGATATTAAAATTAATAAAAAAATTAAATTATAAAATATACCAACAACAATAAATATTTTCAAATGATATAAAAATCACAAAATTTTATTTAAAAAAAATTTACATGAAATTTTGCACTATTAATAGTAAAAAAGATTATTGGATTTTTCAAATAATTGATAATGCTGATTTATTATTCGCATATAATCCTTAATAAGTGACATACGATGAGAAATGGAAATAATTAGAGAATTATTGTCATATTTGATGCCATTACTATTAGCTTATGTGCAGATTTTGTTTGAACCTCAAAATTCAGTACGAATAGTAAAATAGGTTTTTTAGTGGAGCAAATAATTTTTTTTAGGGTTAATTATCATTCTACTAACCAGTTTACACATTAAAAATACTCGTGTTTAACATAAGATATAAGGGTTGAAAAAAGTCCAAAACCAAATCAGCTGATATGGAATTCAATAAAGGAATATTATTGGCATTAGAACTATAGTCAAATTAGCATTGGGATTTAAATTGAGCTTACTGCCATAAGAATTATTATTGCTATTGTCATATGAAAATTGTTGAAATTGAGGCAGTTGTTGAGGTTGAGGCAAAAATGATGGCTATTGTAGTTGATGTGAGTATGATAAAGGTGGGATGGTTGTGGTGCTTGTTGTAATTGGGATGGAGAAAATGACAAAGGTTGTCGTGGCATTCCATTATTATTAATGATGGATAGAGTTGTAGGGGATTGCGGGAATTTGTTAGCATGAATTCGCTGTTGGGTTGGTTAAATTTTATATATATATATATTTATATATATATACTTATTTGTAATGGATTATTAAACAATCTAAGATCGTACATGAATTTTAAATGCGATATATGTGATATTAGTCCTGTTGAAGGAGATCTACTCTTTAAAATTTCATTGAAGATGATAATGTGGGTGTCAAATGTTTATAAATCTAATAATTATTTTATTTTTCATGTCAGAGTTAATAATGTAGTGTGATATTTCTTCAGTATGTGCACGTTCACTCGCCACTACTAGTGAAGTCTTGGTTGATTTCCTTTCCTGCCGCTACATTATGATGGTTCGATGTATTTAAGAGATCGACCAAGGATCTCAAATTGTGTGTCGTATATTAATACAGTCAGAACTTGTTAAACCGATACTTTTTTGGGCTCAAAGCATTGTTTTATTTAATACTTTTTTAAAAAAATTTGATTTAAAAAATTATACATGTACTTGTCTATACTACATTGTCATGCTAGAGAACTTTTACATAATAAAATGCTACTTCTAACGAATTTTAAACGAGTAACAAGGTCTTTATTCGTTAGAGTAGGTTTTGATTGTTTTAGAACGCATATTTCTTTTAATATCACTGTAGTTTATAAAGTTGTACAAAATAAAGTGAAGTTTCTTTCTATAAACCGATATTATTCACTATAATTTATTATATGTTAAACATTAAAATGAAACAATAGGAATATGCATCTTATTTGAGTTGATTTTTATTATAAATGAATAGGTAAACTAGAAAAACTCTGTTATAACAAAAATTCATTTTATCAAGTTACGTTTTATTGAGCTTCGACAATCCGAAAATTTAAGATCAATTTGGTATCACACGATTTTTTAAGAGATCACAGGGATCGTTCCGAAATTTTACATTTCTAATACAATAAACCGATGAAAATGAAGCTTATGTCTTTAGCTTTAGTTTTCTTTTTTCTTTTTCTTTTTCTTTTTTAATAAGAAGTTTTTAAAATCATGCGATAATCATTGGCCGTTATAGATGTCCTGCGTTATAAAAATAAAAAATTAGACAGTGTAACGAACAGTCTTTTAAAACAGCTCATTATTTTCAAGCTCTGTTATTAAAGCAAAGTATAACTACACCATTAAATCTTTCTAATGTAAAGCTACTATTATTCCTATTCAAAAATGACATCACATCTATGTAAATATCTAGCAATTTATGCAATCTTAATACATAGGCAACCCGTTAAACTGAAATTTTTTTCTATTTAATTTACCCAATAATCCGAATTTTTTATACGTTTTTGAAGAAAAGTAGCTGCACAAGCGCCTTTGGGTTAACGGGGTTTGCATATGTATCATTAAAATTGTCTCTTTTAATGGGAAACAATTAAAACAAGATAAATGAGGTAAGGATCTTTTGGACTGATCGACATTCTTTGATGAATATAGTAATAGATGACGACATTCTTGTTTACAGGAATTAACCGTTAGAAAACTGAAAATTTATTATTATTATTATTTAACAGTGGGCGTGAGCTAACCAAATTTAGAAACTTACCGGTACTGGTATGGCGTCATCATTCGAATATCTTAAAGACGTTTCTAAACATGGCAATAAAACGAATATTTGTCGAGTCTCTCGTTCGGGTCCTGGAAGATAGTCTGGTCCATTGTCATTATCTAGTTAAAATACAAATTTTCCACTTTTATGTTTTATTCTTCACGAAAAAACTAGGAAAATTTCGACTAACCGGTTCATTGTAACCAAAGTTAAAATGCTTATGATTATAAAAATTTAAAAGTTTCAGGTCAAAAACCGGTTTGTCTGATCATTATTTAAAAATCAAGTTAAAACCGGATTTAATTTTAATTTATTATTTTATTATACCTGTTATTATTATTATAACAATAAAAATAATATGTACATATTAATATCTTCTAATGAAACTCTAGTGTAAATTGATAAATTTTTGTTTTTATTAAATTCTGCTTTGAGAATCTTCTTTCATTTGGAAATCTATTTTTGATTTCTTCCAGGTATATAGATAAACAAAAATATCCATTAATAGATTATCATAATCCTTATCTGGAATTTTAATAAACGCTCTCCAATATTAGAATAATTTTCATTACTCCAACCATTGGAACATATCACAAAATCGCTTTGAAAAATTTTGCTCAGTTGTACCAAATAAGATAATAAATCACAAAGAAAATAGAAAGATTCAATCATTCTCCAATTACATAAATTCTCACGTTCTTGCGTAAATTTTACCAGTTTCACTATTATCATTCGCTAACATTTCAATTAAAGCTTGCTAATGATAACTATCCAATATTATATAATTTTTATATTCTATATATAAAATCTAATTTTTCTTGTAGTTTTCGAGTTCTTGAGCTCTAGTGCTAGATTTTCTGAAAAAATATATATTCTACACATTAATTCATCGGCTTTTTCGTAAAATTCAATTTCTCTACTTGCATCTTTGCAGGATTAACTTTCACCTTTTTGTTGCTGCTCATCAGAAGCAAAACCATTGATGAATAATTCTTGCCACGTTTCCCAAAGAAATTAATCAAAACATTACTAATTGTCCAAGCATCATCACCAGAAGTTAATTAAAATTTGGCTCTGAAGATACCATCACTTTTTATATATAAGTAACCAAATGTTTTTCTACTATAACACCAGTACCCTCATCCGTCATATACATCTTTCCACAACCTTTCATTAATTATATCTGAAAATGAATCAAGGAATTCAGTAGGTTAAATTTTCATCAAGAATATTTTGAAAATAGAATCCTATTATTACTAAAATAAAATTTTATAACTTCTACTATTTATATTTTCTTCATAAGTAGATGATTTCTTATGACAAAATTTATAAAATTTAAAAAAAATAACCTTTCACTTGGTCTTTTACAAGAAACAACTACTTAAATTCAAAAAAATTTTCGCGACAATTACTACAAATTTAGATTTTAATTACCAACAATTATTATTACATTTAATACCATTTTCAGAATTTACAACAAAGCAAGCCGTATTTATAGTACTATATAGTACTAATTTTTAATTGAATTACATCATTATAAAAAAATGTAACCATCACGTGTCACAATGATAAGATTTCGGTTTTAAATCAATTGTGTATTGTGTGTTTACTCAATTGATCATTATAATAAAAAAAAGAATAAAAAGGTACTCTAACATTTTCTTTTAGTGGATTTTACAATTTATTATTTTAATATGACTTCAATTAGTCGTAATTCTTTTTTTTTGTTAATTTATTTATTTATTTTTTTCAACTGTATCCAATATTCATGGAAACAATATTATTTGGATAATAAGAACCATAATTCTTTGAGTGACATCAATGGAATTTCTTTGCAAAAACGTTCGTTATTTTCAAATGAAACGAATTTTAGTCCAATAAATAGCTATTCCAATTTATTTTCCAAGGTATGCGTTTTTTAAAAATTTTATATCATCATATACGCATATAGATGAAAATTTTTTTTTAAAGTTGACACAATTTTAATTTTTAATCTTTTTCTTAATTTTAGTGCAATAATATTTATAAACAACCAGACAAATGTGCTTTTGTACGTGAATATTGTGCTGATTCTTCTTCCTTGGTCAATTATCTAAAGCATTACTTTTGTGATTTACCAAATTGGCAATTTTTTGCACGGATAGCTTTGGTGATTATACATTTATACATATAATATACAGCTTTAATTAATTTTATATACTTACAAAGTGATATATTAATAGTTTCTATGGCTTCTGTTTTTGTTTGGATTCATTGGAATCGCTGCCTCCGATTTTTTTTGTCCAAATCTATACACGATTGCTTCTAAATTGAATCTATCTGAAAGTATGGTAAATGTTAAAAAGTTGCATATATATGCATGCTATTATGTATATATAATAATTCATCTTTTTTTAATAATAACAATTTGGTATAATAAAAAGGCCGGGGTAACATTTTTGGCGTTTGGAAATGGATCACCAGATGTTTTCAGTACTTTCAGTGCTATGACACATGGATCCGGCTCGTTAGCTATCGGTGAACTTCTTGGAGCAGCAAGTTTCATCACTTTTGTAGTGGCTGGATCTATGGCAATAATAACACCATTTCATGTCACCAAATTGCCATTTCTACGTGATCTAATTTTTTTCACTGGTGCTATCTCATTTACCCTCATGATAATATATGACGGAAAAATTCATTTATGGGAAAGCATTGTCTTGGTATTATTTTATTTTACCTATGTTGTTGCGGTGTTATTTGTAGCTTGGTATGAAAAGGGTGAAAATAAAGGAAATGAAGTTTTTGGTAAGGTGATTTAATAATAATAATAATAATAATAATAATATAATTATTATATCAATTGATCCAACTAATTAGTCTACATACACACACACACATAAACATAAATATATAAATCAAGACGCATATGGTTATGACACATCCAATGAAACAGACCATTTATTATCTGATAATCGAACTGATAATATTGGTAGTAGGGAAGCTTATATAGACCAAGAATCACAAGGATCCTTAACTCCAACTGAATTTCATCAAAATAAGCCAGGTAGAAGAAGAAGTACAATATCAATACATCGAGGCATGAGGCCTTCATTACTTGGTGCAATGGAGGTAAAATAATTGTATAATGTTTTTTGTCTTTTAATATATAGTTAAAATATCATTTTCTTTTGCTGCTTTTTTTTGTTTTATTAATTTATATATAATATATACGTGCATTTTTATTATTAGTTTCGTGATGATGTCAATGCAGGAAGATTTAGGTTACATACATATCGCCATAATGAATATTATAATCGTCGACAAAATATACAAAATCGTAGTACAACAATGCCATCATACAATTCCATTAATTGTAATCCAAGAAGAAAGTCATGGTCTAGTTTTGCGGGTCCTCTTAGTCGATCACCTATTTCTTTTATAGATGGTGATTTAAATAACCCCCAAATTAATATTAGTGCTCCAACATTGGCAAAAATTGATGAATCTTCTTCATCTGATTTAACTTCCAATCTAAACAATACAAACTCTCAAGATTCTGATCTAAACAATAATGACAGCAACGAAGGCAACGAAGCAATTAACAATTTGAATGTTCCACATCTAATGGTGACTCCGTCACTGTCAAATCAAAGAGCTGCTCTTTCGCCTGAATCATCAATACATTCATCACCACTCTCATTGTCACCAAAATCTCTACCAGATAATGATACCGCTCCAATATCTCCTTTGTTTATAGGATCAACAGATGAGTTAAATAGTGGAACAATATATATTTCACCTGTTGCATCACCTTCATTTCCTCCCATCACCATTGATGAACCAACTTGGTTGACAGAGGTGCAAGAAACTTTATTTCCTTCAGTTACAGGATTTTCACAGAAATCTTTATTTGCAAAATTAACTGCATTAATAGCCATTCCTATCATCCTTTTGCTTGCGCTTACATTGCCCGTTGTGGAAACAAATGACCCGATTTCAGAAGAAAATGAAAACAATAATGAAAGAACAAATGATTGGAATAAATGGTTGACTTCCATACAACTTCTATTTGCACCAATATTTATATCTACTGTTTTATTTGGTAAATACATATATTCTTTAAAATGAATACTCTTTTTTTAAAAAAAAATTAATTTAATATTTTATTTTTAATTAATAGCTGATGGTGATTCAATTGTTATTGTTGTATCATATGCTTTCGTTTTTGGATTGGCTTTATCAATCTTTTGTTTTTTCTTTACAGATAAGAATAAACCACCAAATTTTTATTCATTACTTAGTTTTATGGGTTTTGGTGTTGCAATAGTTTGGATATTTCTTATTGCAGACGAGGTAGTAGGTCTACTTCAAGTAAGTATTGTTTTTTAAAAAAATTTTTAATAAATAATTATATTATGATTTTTAAATAGTGTTTATTGGTTTTTTTTTTGTTATTAATTTAGGCTATAGGTCAAATATTTGAAGTATCCGATGCCATACTTGGATTAACAATTTTTGCAATGGTATGTTTCAACATGAAGGAAAGAGAAAATCAGTTTATTTTATTATTCTTATCATTCTTAAATAAATAAATAAATATATATACATATGTATGTATGTATGTATGTGATTTTAAAAATAGGGAAATAGTTTGGGAGATTTGGTTGCTAATATTACTACCGCAAAAATGGGTTCGCCAATGATGGCTATAAGTGCATGTTTTGGTGGGCCTATGTTAAGTAAGTTATTATTATATATTCTATTTATTTGGATGAAATAAAACTTAAAAATAAACATTTTTTTATTTATATTTTTACAGATATTTTATTTGGAATTGGTATTAGTGCAACTTATACAACAATTACAACCGGACATTCAGTTAAGGTTAACATAGATACAACTTTATTTGTTTCAGTATTTGGACTATTAATTGGATTATGTTCAGCTTTAATCTATTTTCCTTATAATGGTTATCATATGACAAGAGCTTGGGGATGTTATTTAATTTCAATATATGTTATTTGTATGATAATAAATCTCATAATAGAATTCAATCCTATGCATTCAACTTCTGCTGATATTGGAGCATTGGTTTGAACGTAGCAAATTCGATTTTTACAGCATGTATTTTGTTTTTTTAAACCGAACAATTGACTAAAAGAGTGCCAACTTATTTAATTAATTGTTATGTATGCATATTTTTTATTATTTTTTATTATTAGCATAAAAATTCAACTTGTAATTATTATTTAATGATTTAAAAAAAATCATGTACATATACTGTATATGAAAACAAAAAGTTTTTTCACTCATTAATTTATTAATTGAAATATAATTTTTGAAAAAATAATTTGACTTACGTTTATCAATAGACTAGAGTTCCCTCCAAAAAAAATCGTGCCCCCACACAAATATAATTACACGGGAAATTTTTTTGTAATTTTCACTTGATAATAAAAATGGCATTAATGTGACGAGCTAATGGGAATATGACAGAAATCGGAAAACCATTTGAAAAAAAAGAGATAACGTGACCAAAGGATAGTTTAGTACTCACAAATGACTTCGGGTTAGGTTTCTTCCATGCAATTGCTCTGGTAGTTTATTTTTAACATTTAACTTTAAAAAAAAATAAAAAAATTTCATCGCCCCAACAACAATAATACCAAGACCGTGCGAAAACGAGAAACCAATTTTGTGAAGGAAAAGAACTTCAGTAGCCTAATGATGATAATTCACAAACTTGGCAGCTGGTTTAAAAGCTGAATATCGCCAAAAATCAAACAAAGATACAACGAGAATTCTTTGCCCCAAAAGCTAAGCTACATGTCAACTTTCATCATCTTTAAATGCGCAGAGTCGGTCACTTCTCTTCGTTCATTCTCGTCATTTGTTTTCATCCTACGCGGGTCGCGTCTCCTATTCGCCGGAATCATGAAACAAGAAGAAGCGTGAATTAATAATAACAATCGATTGGTTCAGGATATGGTGTTTTTGTTTATTCGCAAGAGTACAATAAGCAAGGAAGTGTCAATGACAATGAAACAGTAAAATTACTTTTACTTCTTTAATTGTATGTTTAAAAGGTCGTTTCCAAAAAATAAAATAATCTGACATCATACAGATGAGATTTTTTAATTCTGAAAAGTGTTTTGAGCTTGCATCTACAATGTAACTGAGCCATATTTATCGATATTATTGTACTTTCATATTGAAAATGTAATTTTTGTCACAAATTCTAAGATGTCTATTAATGCAAAATTTAAAAACAAAAAATAGTATTGTTACGTTATATATAAGATTCTTTTTAACCAAAAACTCTTTTGAATTTTTTTTCTAACTATTTTGCTTCCAAAGTTATAAACTTTTTAAGTTTCCGATTGTTAAAATCAATTTATTTAATTAAAGAAAATCGCTTTTCATAAAAACTGTTATAACTCATCATACTGATGAGAATTTTTAATTCTGAAAAATGTTTTGAGCTTGCAGAACACACACATCTTTACAATGTAATAGAGCCATATTTTAAAAATATTTAATAACATTGATGTATTTTCATATTGTTTTGCCACAAATTCCAAGTCAATACATATAATTTAAAAAATCATATTAAACAAAAAAAAATAGCGTAGCTACGTTATAGACAAGGTTTCTAGAAATTAAAATCATTTTCAAATTTTTTTTTTTTTTAGATATTTTGCTTCCAAACTTATAAAACTTTTGATTTTATATTCATATATAACGCTCTCAATCTAGGATGCTGAAAAAAAATTGCATATATCATACATTCATCTGAAACTTAATTTAATTTAAATTTGTATGCAACTTACAGGCATCAGGAAATTAATTTAGCGTAAACTTGCATAATTCTTATGATGCCGACGTAATATTGTGTAAATCTTACAGTGCCGACGTAAGTTTTACACTTTTTTATTATTAAACTTACAATTGACATGTGTAAAATTTTTTTATATTTTCCGGATGGGGGTAGTCCCGTTTCTCATTGGAATCATCAATGAATGAATCTGATAAAAATGTGACCAAGTATAAGCTCAAAACCCCTGACCAGTTTTGTGCGCCAAAACCCGTATACAATTTATCAGGTGTTAGTCCAAAACTAGAAGTTTCCAAAAATGTAATAATTCTATTATTTCAGAGGCTTGGGTGGATATTACCAATGTTTTGGGAATAAATGTTACAACATTACATAAAAAGGTGACATGGCTATGCAAAGATTGAAATTAGAAGTTTCACAATTAAGTAAATACAAACATTCACTATTCACTTGCAAATTTTGGAGTTGCAGCACTACAAACATCTCATATACAAGTAACTGTGAAGCATTTATTTTGATTCAAATCATTGCTATTAACCTCACTGGTGCTTATTCTCAATGGTGAATACTGTTTTTTAATGATCCATTGATATGAGCACTCTTGTTATTTACCTCATATGGATTAAGTTTAATGATATCATTAGGTATAGAGGACATTTCTTGATCATTAAAAGATTGTGCAGGTGAGTCTGTATAGTTGAAAAGATTTTTGATTAGAGTTTTTGCACTTTGTAAATAGATATTATTACTTCTTGAATTAGAATAAATTAATGTTAAAATAAGGGAACCCATAAATAATTCTAAGTTATCATGTGGTTTACAATGTAGATTGAATACTAATACGTAATAATGCACATCAATCTATAAATGCCAAAATGATCCTTGACTTTTTGACAATTTTCCTTAGTTTGTGTCACTACAATGTTATGTACCAATAAAAATAATCAAAAAATTTTCACTAAATTTTAATAAACAATAATCCACATGAAGTTATACCCATATAAAAGCTTACAATATTTTCCATCTTTTCAATTGCTCATCAAGTTCATAAAGATAAAAATATTAATTTTGAAGTAAAAATTAATGTTACTTTTGAATAACTATAGCTGAGCCTCTATCAATATCAGATGAGAATCCATTAGAAACTATAATGACCTAGTTTTATTTTAGATTAATAATGATGCTTGAATTTGTTATAAAATAATGAGATATCCTAATTTACATATGAATGATCAACTGATGTGACAAATTGTCCAATTGATAATTTATTGACTGTATCAGCATAGTCATAATAACATTATAAATAATAATAATAATATCATGTAGAAAAAATAGATTTTATTTGTAATGTCATTTATTGAAAGTAAATGATAAGAGGATAAAAGTTATAAGTCCAATAATTAACATTAAATAATATTTAATATAACATTGTCCTTTTCTTCCAAGACCTCCTTTAACAAGCAAAAATTGACAAATAACAGCTATATTTTCCTGCTCTTTCTCATTTAAAAATAATTACTATGTTAATGTTTTAATTCTCAATAATGTATTAATTCTATTAATTATCTTCATGTGAGGCCATTTGAATATTTTGCCTAATTCTAAGCAAATTCATTTATTTTTTAACCATGCTAAACAAACTTGCAGGCTGTCTATATATGGGGCATGGAAAATAGAACAGCCCTAACTGCAAAATCATGGTTTTGAGACAACCAAAAAAAAAACAAAAATTCGATACTTGTATATCATTTCCATATTTATAGGAAAAATAGGGGCTGGTTTCCAAACAAAATAATAACAATATATGGGACATGTCACAGCAAAAACCACCTCTCAGAAAAATAGATTATTTTGAGTAAACACATGTTCAAAATTTGTTACACAGAAAAAAGAAAATTGCCCCCTAAAATTTTTTGATCATCAATTATCTCCGAACTATGTAATACTAAAAATTATAATGGCCGAAGTTTTATCAATTTTATGTAATACATACTAAAAATTATAATGGCCGAAATTTTATAATTTTATCAATTTTATAAGTATAAATATTGTACATAAGAATTTTTATCTTAAATAAAAAATAAAAGCTTTAAATTTTATAAAAATATATCAAATCAATATGTCTTCAATTAATTCAATCCCAGAATACAATTTATTTGATCTAGAATTAGTGGATTATGAAGAAAATAATTTAGTAGTTGATGTAGTTGAGGATTTAAAATTGTTTTTCCAGAGCTCTGAATGTAAATGTCATAAAACAGAAATAGACTCACATAATTGTTTTGAAAAAATAGGCTTTAAAAATTTTTTTGAAAGATATTTTGAATTTAAAAGTTTAGATAAAAAAGAAAAAGATCTTTCCATCAAAACACAATTGATGGTTTTCAAATTTGACAGTGGAGATTCACTTATTAGGTATCAATACAAATATAATGCAGCAATATCCATTTGCCGACCTGTATTCTTAAAGCTATGTAATATTAAAGTAGATGTGTTAAAAGCTTTGCAAAAACATTTACAAACAAATGGTTTAGAAGATCGTCAACATGGTAATATAAAAAATATTCCCAAACTTAAGTCACGTGCATTTGTTAATATAGAATTAGCAGAAATAGTGAAGCAATTTATATTAAATTATGCAAACCTATATGGATTGCCATCTCCAATGAGAATTCGTGACAATTCAGACCCAATTATTTATCTAAAAACTAAATGTAATTATACTTCAGTTTTTAATGAATATGTAAAAAGCTTTGTTGATAGTTATGGCACTTCTATAATTAATTTAAAATATAGAGCTTTTGTGAAACTTTGGAATCAATTAACACCACATGTTAAATTTTTAAATCCCTCAAGTGATCTTTGTGAGATTTGTGAAAAATTTAGATTAAAATTATTTAAATTAAAATCATTAAATGAGGAGGATGAAGAGATTGACATGCAATTCAAGTTTGATGATCATCTTGCAGCTGCAGATTGTGAAAGACAACATTATAACAAAATTATTGAAAAATCTAAAAATGATTTAACACTAACTCACATTTGCTATGATTATGCTCAAAGTGTTTCTGCACCATATTCACCTCAACAAGTTGGCTCAATTTATTTTAAAACTCCTTTTGCCATACAACTCTTTGGATGCACTAAAACTGATGGAGGCAACAATTATCAGCTAAATTATACTATAGGTGAAGATGAATTGCCACAAGGAACACCAAAAGGAGCTAATTCAACTTTATGTATGGTTTTTGATTTTCTTAAAAGGAATCATCATGATGAGAAAAAAGACCTATATGTGACATGTGATAATTGTTCAGGACAAAATAAGAATAACTTATCACTTTGGTTTTGGTCATGGTTAATAATGTTGGGTTGGTATGAAAATATATATATAAATTTTATGATACCTGGTCACACTAAATTTGTATGTGATGGATTTTTTGGATTAATTAAAAAAGTATATAGAAATAGAGTTATAAATACTGTTGATCATGTTGAAGAAGCTATAAATGATTCATCAAAAAATCGTAATAATCAATCTATTAGATATAAAAATGGTATGGGATGGAAATGGTATGACTTTAGCTTACTATTTAATGACAATTTCAGAAAATTACCAAATATAAAAAAATACCATCATTTTCGCTTTAGTAGTAAGGATATTGGAAAAGTTTATGTTTCTGAAAAATCTGGTGGCTCGGAAATTTCTTTTAAACTTCTAAAGAATGCTAATTTTGATAAGGATGGTCAATTAAATATTATTGAGGTTGCTCCATTAACAGATGATAGAAAAAAATATTTGTTTACAAAAATTCGCCAACATGTAGAAGACCCATTTAAAGATATTCTTTGTCCAGAACCTAATATTTATTGATTTTATTTTAATGTATATTAATATTAATATGTATGTATTTTTTAAAAAAATTTATTTTTAAAATTTTAAATTATTGCGTGTAACAATAAAATGGGGTGCGCAGATCAATTTATTATTTTGTGCAAATTACTTTAAAGAAGGTGTCCATTGCAAATTCCCCGTTTTTTTATTAAGCAAATATGGTCTAATATTTTCACCAATTATAATTTATATATTATAGATCAATATTATGTAAAAAGCTCAATTTTGGTCAGATGACCCCAGAGGTGGTTTTTGCTGTGAAACGTCCCATATACTGTGCGACATCAATGGGGCTGTGTAATAAATGTTATTTTATTTTTTTCATTTTTTTAAAATTTGACATTATTGGTCGGTTAACATGTGTACCACTCATCGACCCCTCAGCATTTTTTACACATGATTTTTATTATATATATATAGTAAAATCACATATAAAATCTATTTTTAGAAAAAAATTTTCCTAGTCCACATATCTGATCATAAGCAATTCGCCGTGTAACCTTATGATTACACAATTTTTTTTTTATTAAAATGTTGTTATCTATTGATATCTATTGGCTGATTTTTATGGTTGCATTATCCCAACTGAATTTCTATTCATAAAAATAACTTTCTTTATACACTGATCATAAGAATAATTACACCAAAAATTTCGTTTAATACTATATACATATCTACCAATAAAGACATGTTGACTTCTGCTCATGAAACTGAGGAAGGTAAGTTTATTTTAGCACACTCTATTTTGCATCTCAGTGATTATTAAGTTTTTTCCATTTTTCCTGCTAGGAATCCCAGTAGATGATCCTGATTTTTTTACTTTGGACCGCAAGTGGTCTTTGTTAAATTTTTTGCTATTTCGACAACAATGTACTGATTTCCGTGCCGACAGATGTGGAGAACACAACCGATATGTTCGTAGCCTCGCAAGTATTATCAGCTATGAACAAGCATCCACAGAATTGATTGAACGGGCTAGCGACGCGCTTAGTTTGGTACAAGTTAAGTGTTACCTCTTGATATATTTTGTTGGCAGTGAACGGATCTGAAGGGGCAATAGCCTTTTTGGATGGGGTTGCGACCTGCGTTCAACCACCTAACATCCCTGATCACGATTGGGGATGCATAGTTGCGACTCAGGTGGTTCCGTCCTGCTGAAATGTGTTCAACCACCCAAAATTCCCGATTGTGATTGGGAATTCATGAGTTGTGACTCGGGTGGCTGTTTTGCACATTTGATGGGTTTCATCAACCACCCGGCACCCCTGATTGCGATTGGGAGTGTGTGAGTTGCGACTCGGGTGGCTATGTTTCTCATTGAGTTGGTTTATTTTTTTTTGTTGCTAAATATTTTGTTAATAGAAGGAAAAAAAGTCACCCTTAATTAATGACTTCTGGAAGGCAATTACGTTGGTGTAAAAAAGGAAATTGGTAGATGCAATTGAACGCTCAGTTTTGCTGGTACGGAATACTGATCTGTTAATATAACAAGGCACATAATGTGATGTAAACACTAACTTGTCTATTGTAACAGGATGAACTCACTACAGCCACTATATACTCGACCTTCCAACATGATAGGCAGGAACAATTAGTTCACGAGAAAATTACGAGACGTTTAGAGGATATAGATGATGATCGCTCGTACAAATGTCAATGTGGGCAGAGCGAGCTACGAACTTCGGAAAATAAGGTGTTGTATTTTTCATTGTTTTGGATGGCTATAAGAAAGTTCAGGATATAATCCAGTGTTCAACGTGCAAAAATGGTTTCTCGCCTTTTCTTATCTTGCTGATGTGTTTATCAGAAGGATTATCCAAAAGAAAGCGAAACAGAAATTGTTAATACCGAGCAAAACTCAGAGGAAAGTGATACAAAAGTGATTAATGCCAAACAAAATTCAGAGGAAAAGGATGAGGTAGGTTTCCATAAATGATTAATTACACATCCGAAAATACTTTTCTAATCTGGAATATGTTGTTTTTTTTATGACTTTCCTTAGGAAGAACATACGAGAAGGTATAATCTTAGAAAACAAGAAAGATTTAATTATGCTGAGATCTCTGATTCAGATATATATTATGTAATTATTCTTTTTACTATTTCACATAATTGAAAATTATACAATTCTCATTATTTTTATTATTTTTGAATTCATCAAGTATCAGACTTATGAACGTGAATTGATGCCCTGCCCTATAACTCGGAATCCTTTAATTATAACACCAAACAAACCAATTATAACAAGAACAACCTACAATCAAATTTCAACGCATATAATTTGTGCCTTCAACGCAACAGTACATCTTGTTAAGGAAACAACAGAAAAGACTTTATATGAAGAAATCGAAAAATTTCTCAGGATGAGAAACAAACTGATTTTAAAAAGTTCAATAACTAAAAAACTTGGTGTAATCTTCCAGACAGATTATTCAGAAATTATTACGAAAACAATGATAGAGACAGAAAATGAAAAAGATAGCGAAACAAGCGAGGAATCTAGGTTTCTTTTTTTTATAAGGCACACCTTACTAGATTTTGTTGCAATGTTCAAGTATCTATCACCTAAGGTTTTAGTTCGGGATATGTCTGAAAGATCATACATTGTTGAATGCCTTTCGCCGATTCTTCGTGCATTCAGAAATGCATTTCCCAATGTGAAATATGAGTGGATTGAAAAGGATGTCAAATCATTAAGAGATGCGAGCAATATGTTTATGATTGATGTGAGACCCCAAAAAGCTGATCTGCTAGTTTTGAGGTTAACAGATGCAACTGAAATTTTATATATTGAGGTGTCTGGGCCACCTTATAAACCCAACAAAAAACATACAGTCGGGGATGCAAAAAAATTACTCATGATAGCTATTTGTAATTTGTGCAGAATACTTTCAAATAACTTTGATTGTCCAATAGATGATGCCAAGAAAGTCAGGTCATACAGTATTCAAGCAATTGGAGACCGGTTAACTCTGTTTGCCATTTCCCTTGTTGATAAAAAAAAGTATTTAGCCGTAGAATTAGCTTCATGTGTAATTCCTTTTTCTTTTGAAGCTATCACATGCTATTCAAAAATCTTTAATTTTTTTGCGGTTATAAGGAATGAATTCATTGAACAAGAAAAACTTCAGAAAAAATTCGTTCTTTCATTCCTTCGGTTGGCGGTGATATTGAAGGTTTACGAGAATGGATACATTTACCTGATGATGATTTAACGCCTGCAACGGAAGATGATATAGATGAACTCTCTTTATATGGTACTCAATAAAATTAAGAATAGACTTTAATGTAATTTTTATAGTGAGCTATACAGTAAGTACAAATATATTGAAGAAAAAGCTTTATATTTTTATACAAAAAATAAAATATGGCATATTATAGATTTATTCAAATAATTTTTTAGCTATATTGAAGAGGAAGCATTATACTTTTTATACAAAAAAATAATAAAAAGTCATTTATTGTTTTATTAAATATATGGTATATGATGTTATATTATTATTTTATAGATATTACTGAACAAGAAGAAAAGACACTAAAAAAAAATTATAAAGCAAATTCAATAAAAATTAAATAATAATGTTTCAATTAAGGCTTTTAGAAGAACTAAGGATTTATTATTATGTTTATTTAAATTTATATTTTATGAATTAAAGATTTGGTTATTACATTAGAATTCAGTTCCATTCTTCCTAACGAAGCGTTGAGAGCCGAACTTTTGAGAAATCTGTATCCTTTGAAAGACTTGGAATAGGCAATGCTGCGGTTTTTATTGATCTTATACTAAGAACCGCATATGATTTTGTTATTATGCACTGCTCTAAGAATTTCATCTATATATATGTATATTTTCCTATACTCTTATCAATTTTTTAACTTTATATTTATCATATATATATTAAATAAACAATCATAACATCTCACTTATGAACGAAGTATGTCCGGTGTGCCCAGAAATCACAACCTACACATTATATTTCTCTTTTTAATGCCTATTAAAAAAAAACAAGTACAGTCAAACCTCGTCACAGCGGACCTCGCCACAGCGGATTTCTTGTTACAACGGATTTAAATATTGGCCCCTTTT